CTTATCTTCCTCCCATGTGTGTGTGTGGGGGGGGGGGGGCTGAAGAGCCACCCCGGAGCACTGGCATCCATTAAACCTGGGCTTTTCCTAATTTGGTTTAATTTGATCTGATTTGGGTTATTGTGTTGGCAGAGAGGCTTCTCAGGCCAGAAAAACTTCACACTTTCTATTTCTTTCTCTGGTCCTTACACAATTCCCCCTCCTCCCTGAACATCTGAAGGGGAAGGGTGAGACACCAGTCTATCTCCTGCTGAGTTGTTAGCACTCCCAGTTAAACCTTGCATTCTTCCTTTAGTGTTTGTGTCTTAGATCTGGATTTCTAAGGGATAAACTTTCAAACCTATGTTCAGTATCAATTTATTACAAGGGCCTGGGGTAGGGAATTACTTCATTAATTAGTAGTGCTTCATATATTGTTGAGCCACATCAGAATCAGGAATTGACCACGTGTTTGCATAACACACCAAAGGTCACCCATTGCCTCTGGTCCCCATTGTAGTGGTGTTCTCCCAGTGAAGACTAACTGCATGATTCCCATCACTGGTGGTCTAAAACTGAGAACAAGAAGAAGAGGAGGAGGAGGAGGAGGAGGACAGAGTTTGGTCTTCTGTTACCTGAATAAAACAGGTTTGACTGGAGAATAATTTATACATTTTCAGTGTACAATTTTGACATTTACGTCACCTGAGAAAGCTTCCTGGTCTCTTCCCAGCTGTTTTCTCATTTCCACAGAGAATCACTGTTGAGGGGAGCTGCGGGCCGCTTCCCTGCCACCCACATGGCTAGCTTATGCCCCCGAAATAATTACACGGAAATTATTCTTTTAAACACTGCCTGGCCCATTAGTTCCAGCCTCTTATTGGTTAGCTCTTACATATTGATCTAACCCATTTTTAATATCCCTGTAACACCACGAGGTGTCTTACCAGGGAAGATCTTAACCTGCGTCTGTCTGGAGTGGGAAAACCATGGCAACTGCCTGACTCGGCTTCTTTCTCCCAGAATTCTGTTCTGTTTACTCCACCCACCTAAGGGTTGGCCTATCAAGGGGCCTAGGCAGTTTCTTTATTAATAAGAAATCACTCCCACATCAAATCACTATTTGAATTTCTATTGCCAGAATAGATACCTATGCTATGACTTTAAATTGTTTAAATATTTATTTCATTACATATTTCTTTGTTTATTTTTACATACATTCATTCAACACTATGCATTTGAGATTCTTTCATGTGGTTAGCATGAGTGTGCTTTCATTTTTAATATTGTCCTATTATAAGACTGTGATTCAAATTTGTTTATCCTTGCAGCTGGTCTTGGGAATCTGAATGCTTTCCAGTTGGGATAGCCATTCAGAATAAAGTCTCTATAGACTCTTTGCCCAACTTTTTGTAAACATGTTTTTGTTTCTGAAGGATAAATGAACAAAAGAGCAAGATTGCTGGGCAATTGGGTAGGTGGATTTTTAACTTCATAAGAAAAAAATTAACCAAAGTTGGGTATATTCCCACTCTCAGAGGTCATCTGACTTCATTTTAATAGCTCACAGTCTCTAGTTATTAAGCACAGCTCACACAATGGTAAACCTACAAACTGATCTTTTGAAGGTGTCCTCTTAGGACATCTTCCTCCCTTGGACACCATTGACATAACATAGATTCCTGCTCCTGAGACCCACAGGCCACTGTACGAAGTTTGAAATACTGTTCAGGGCAGAGCGCACATAGAAGGCAGTACAGCAGGCTCCCTGTGCAGGATCCAATGCAGCCACCAGCTTCTCCGTGAGCGCCTTTGCAACAAGTCACCGTCTATCCCTGAGAGCAATCAGAAGATTTATTTACACTCTGTTGGCTAATTGCTCCCATATTGAGCCAGATCTTCACAAAATACCCTTCGTGATAGTGAGATTTCTGGTCTCTATTATGAAGCAGTTGATAAATTGCCATGCTTATATCCTGTCAGCATAGTTTGATTTAATTTTCTGGATGCTACAACTGATTTCTGAGAGTCCTTAGAACAAAATATAATGCAAATATGATAAGATATGAAGATATGACGTGAAAGCTGAGCAGACAGGGACCTGAAGTGCGTAGAGATAGGACATAAATGTTTGAAGGAATGGATATGCAAGTTACTCTAATTTGATTACTACACATTGTATGCATATATTAAAGCACCACAGCATACCTCATGAGTATGTATGGTTATTACAGATCAATTAAAAATTCTTAAAAAGGAAGATGTTGCACACCAGCCCAGCATCAGCTTCGCATCATTGAAACTGGACTGTGGCTTCTCAAAACAAAAGGGGTACCCAGCGTTCCTAACTGTAACCTTCCACTTTCTAGGGTAGATGTGAGGTTCAAGCGTGCTGGCCACAGCCGTGCTCTGATCTGGGCTCTGTCCACATTCCATCAGGAGATAGATGAGTTTAATTTTCCAGATCTGCGTTTCCATTTTCCTATGGAATGAAGAGAAAATGCCTGTCTTACAGAACTGCTACAGAGTTACATTTGGCGTTGTTCTGTGCCACCTTGTCACAGTAGCTGCCTGACCAACAAGAGCCCCAATACTGAGTAGGCCTCTATCTAGGATTTAGAGGGACACCATTGACTAGATGACAGATTCGCCTGGTTGATAATCAACCTTGTGAAGCAGTTTCATGACTTTTCCTAATGATAAAGCTCACACACTAGCAGCAACACTCCCTGGGCTGTCCATTCCCCTGCTCCTAGTCATGTGGGGTCATGCACTTTTTATATTAAACAGAATATATATATAAACTAGTGCTAACTCCCAACTCACACTGAGTGGGAAGTTGCCATCGCCTCTTGTTCCTGTTCCCATGGATTATCAGAGGACATTCATTGTTTTAGGCAACTTCCTACATGAAAAATATCCTGTTTGTATCTTGCCTCCTGTATCTATTTTCTTTTCTCCATTCTATATCCATCTATATGTAAGACATATTTTGCTATATATACATATATGTATATATATAAGTAAAATTATTTCCTTCGATTTTCAGTCATATACAAATAACCAAGCCAGGCCTGGAAAAAATGGTTCAGGGGTGGAGAGTGTTCCTGCAGAGGACCAGAATTTAGTTTCCAGCACTCACACTGCAGTGCTCCCACTGTCTGTAACTCCTGCAGCATAGCCTCAGATACCCTCATCTAGCTTCCATAGGGACACACAGACACATACAGACACACACAGACACATAGACACACAGTCAGAGACACACAGACATAGACACACAAACACACATATAGACATACATACACATGCACACACGGATACACACACTCGTATACACGCAGAAACACACACAGATACACACACAAAGCTAGTTTGTATCACTTCTCTTTTACTTTCCTGCCTTTCTTTTTTATAGTAGTTTTTTTTAACATTCGAAATTAAAGCTCTCCTCTGACTCACCCCCAGCTCTGTAGCAGAACACCCGCTATGGCCTCCCCTGCTCTCCCTCATCACCAGCAGATGATGCAGACTTCTCCCCCACCCTCTCTCACCATCACTCACATCAGTATCCCTGCCTCCATCCCAGCAGACATCAGCGGCGGATAACGAGTCCCCTGGAACTGGAGTTACAAGGGGTTGTGAACCACTGATGTGGATGCTGGGAATCAAACTCAGGTCCTCTTGTAGAGCAGCAAAGGCTCTTACCACTGAGCCATTCCTGCCACTGCTAGCCTGAAGGGAACAAACCTGGGTCCTCAGAAATGCCCCCAACTACCGATGGCAGGAGGAGGTAGCAGAGTTAGGAACATTTGTGTAAACTGCGGACTAGGAACATGCTCTGAGCTAGACTAGCTACAGATCAGAGGGAAAGGACACAAACAGCTGATCAACTTCCCTGTGAGGGACTGTGAAAGCAAAACCTACCGCTAAGGCCTCAGGGAAGCTTTAGTTAGAAAGGAGGATGATCTAGGCTTAGTACTTGTAGCTCTGGAGAGGGTTTGCACTGAAAGAAGAATAAGATCTTTGTGAAATGTCCTCCTGGGCTTCTAGGATGGAAATTTCAACACGTGCTCAGGTAGAGAGAGGGTTTTCCGAAGTGTTTGGAGTTTGGTCTTCAACTCTCACCTCTGTTTGTCTCATTCGCTTCCATCTTCTGACCTTTTTCTTTCTTTCTTTTAAAGATTTATTTATTAAGTATACAGTGGTCTGCCTGCATATGTCCCTGCAGGCCAGAAGAGGGCAGCATATTTCATTACAGATGGTTGTGAGCCACCATGTGGTTGCTGGGAATTGAACTCAGGACCTTTGGAAGTGCAGCCAGTGCTCTTAACCTCTGAGCCATCTCTCCAGCCCCCGACCTTTTTCTAAATGTATAAAATCCATTCATTTTAGTCTCTTGTCAAGGACATTGCTGTGGATGGAAATAGGTCTGGGAAGGAGAAACAGGCCTCTGCTCAGCAGGGTGGGAATCTCAGTGATCTCTAGAAGTGGAATGGATTACTGGGCTAATACATGGGCTAATGCTTCCTTATTAATAGGTGGATAAAGAGTCTCTCTCTTCTCTCTCCTCTCTCTCTCTCTCCTCTCTTCTCTCTGCTGGTTATTCAACATGTAAAGTCAACAAACAAACTGCATTAATATTTTTTTTTGAGATAAACTCTAAAGGGTCAAAATGCCATGATTTTAATGAAAGATCTGATGTATGAAATTTCCTGGGGCAACAGTCAGGCTGAAGAATCAAAATTCAGATTGAATGGAGCTCAGTGGGCCTTGCCTGTGATCCTCTGGGTGAGTCAAGATGTGTTTCCCAAACAAGCAAACTGATGAAAGTCCAAGGCCATTGACTCAAACGCCAGCAGGAGCACAATGTTTTGTACACAAGTCTCTAAAGGAGGAGAGACATTCCTTGTGTTAATACATATGAAAATAAAAGAGTTCGGGACTCAGGCCAGGGAAGCAGGTGGGCTCATTGCAGCTCTTCCTCCAAACTTTTTTCTGCACTCATTGCTTTGTCCCAGCCCCAGCTCCAGCAGGAACTCCCTGGGAACCTGAGCTTACTCCAGCCAGTCAAGCAGGTAAGCTAACTGAAGGTCTTTACCTCTCCCTCCTTCCTCCAAACACCTACCCCCTTCTAATCCCATCTCTGTGGGAGACCACCTTTGCAGCCAGCCCTCATTCTTTGCTCCCATTACTAGAGGACTAAGCAGATCCTGTGGAACACCCTGTTTTTATTCCTCTTGTGAATCCCTTCAGCTTTTCTTCTAGCCCTTCCCCAGTCCTAAGTATCAGCTCCCAATATCTAAAAATACACAGTACTCAGAACGCTCAGTGGCCACGCCAAGCAGGTTACCAGAAGTCCCCCCTTCCAGGCAACACAAGGCTTCCACACTCTCTAAGGAGACTGAGGGAGCAACAGAAATCAAAGGATAGAATACCAACCAACCAAAGACAAGAACAGATATCTGTCGCGATATTTTATTTGTATTTTAATTTAAAAAAAAGCTTACTGAAGATCAGAGTGCAAAGCTAGGCCACTAGAGGCCAGGGAGTGGTGGTATACACCTTCAATTCCAGGATTTAGGCGATAGCGGCAGATGGATCTCTGTGAGTTCAAGACTACCCTGGGCTACACAAGATCGACCCAGAAACAGATCTAAGTGGTGATGACTCACACCTTTCATCCCAGTGTTTGGGAATCATACACCTTTAATCCCAGCACTATGGAGGTGGAGACAGGAGCAATATGGCTGGGTGGTGAGAGGAATATAAAGGGGAAGAGACAGGAACTCTCTGGAGTGTGGAGTCTGAGGTTTGATGGAGACTGTACAGTCTAGGCAGTCTGAGGATTGATCCTTCAGTCGGAGCGTTGGTAGAGGGAAAAGGTCTCTCTACCTCCTTCCTGTTCTGTTTCTCTGATCTTCAGCTTTACCTCTCTATCTGACTCTAGGTTTTTATTGTTCTTTTTTTTTTTTTTTTTTTTTTTTTTGTTTTTTTTATTTTTTTTTTTTTTTTTTTTTTTTTTTTTTTTTTTTTTTTTTTTTTTTTTTTTTGATTTTTCGAGACAGGGTTTCTCCATAGCTTTTTGGTTCCTGTCCTGGAACTAGCTCTTGTAGACCAGGCTGGCCTCGAACTCACAGAGATCCGCCTGCCTCTGCCTCCCAAGTGCTGGGTCATGTGCCATGACCGCCCGGCGGTTTTTATTGTTCTTGCTACAGATATCAGCACTTGGAATTACAATAATTCCCAAACTAGATGCCCAGATGCCAGTGTAAAAATTCAACAACAAGGTGATATGTCTCCACTGGAGGTCAGCAGCCCTACCACAACAGGCTCTGAGAACTGCACTTTAGCTGAAGCAGAAGACAAGGGCCCTAAAAATAGCTTTGATTATAGAGATGCTTAGAGAGGAAATGAATGCATCCCTTAAAGAAATGCAAGAAAACACAGTCAAACAGTGGAAGGAGATGAATGAAACAGTTCAGATCCTGAAGGTGATCATTGAATCAATAAAGGAAACCCAAACTGATGGAAATCTGGAACTGAAAAATCTAGAAACTTGGACAGGAAGTTCAGAGGCAAGCCCCACCCCCAGAATACAAGAATTGGAAGAAAGAATCTCAGGCATTGAAGACAAGATAGATACTCCAGTCAATCAAAATGTTAAATCTAAAAATCTCCAGGCACAAAACACCCAGGAAATTTGTGATTGTGAAAGGACCAAAAGAATTGAGCAATAGGACTAGAGGAAAAAGGAGAAATCAAGATCAAAGGCACAGATAAACCAAGTTGAACTGAAGACTTAGACATAAATCCACACACCTATGAACACCTGATTTTTGATAAAGAATTTCCATGAATACACACTGGAAAAAACAGCATCTTCAACAAGTAGTGCTGGTCAAACTGAATGGCTACGTGTAGAAGAATGCAAAGAGATACAAAATTATCATCCTGTGCAAAACTCCAGCTTAAGTGGGTCAAAGATCTCAACATAAAACCAGATACACAGAACCTCACAGAAGAGAAAGGGGAACAGCCTTGAACTCATCAGTGCAGAAAAAAAGCTCTCTGAAGAAAATGCCATTAGCAGAGGCACTAAGATCAACAACCAGTACATGGAACCTCCTGAAACTGCAAAGCTTCTGTGCAGCAAAGAACACCACCCACAGCACACGGTGGCATCCTACAGAGTGGGAAAGACTTTTACCAGCTGCACACCTGGTAGAGGGATAATATCCAAGGCACACGAAGAACTGGAAAAAATGGACATCAAGAAAACAAATAACCCAGTTATAAAAAAGATGAGGTATGGACCCAAATAAAAGGCAACACCAAAATGGCTGAGAAACACTTAAGGAAATGCTCAGAATCCTTAGTCGCCAGGGAAATGCTGGTCAAAACTGCTTTGAGATTTTCTCTTACACCAGTCAGAATGGCTAAGACCAACAAAACAAATGGCAGTATTGAGGGAAACTCAGACATCCCCAGGAAAGGGGAATAGAACAGATAATTATGGATGGACAGGGGGGTGAGACAGATCAAATAGAGAGGGGAAGGGATGAGAGGAACAAGGGAGGGGATATGGGGAGGAGCTGCTAAAACCTTAAGGGCCATTTGAGGAGTCATATGAAAACCTAGTACAGTAGAAGCTTCTTAAACTATATACATATATGAAGGTGATCTAAATGAACTTGCAAAATAATGGGGGGACCTCAACTGGACATCTCTTATTCCCAAAAGAAACTTCAGTACCTGAAATGGGTTACACCTAATCTAGTTGTTGGCCGAAAGGGTCCCAAGGGAACCCCTAAACAAACTACTGTTGAAGGCTACAGGTTGCTCTTCATAAACTGGAAGCAAGGCCCTATTTCTAAAAATAGCACCTACAGAACTCATTGAACATGGAGAAGTTGAGCTGGTGCCTGCCTAGAGCCTTCAGCCCCACTGGCTGGGGCTTCTGATACCAGCAGGTACTACGCATGCTACCAAAGGAGAAATGTAAACACTAACCCAGCTGCAAACCATCCAGTCTATAATACATTAGTGCAATGGTGGCCCCAAGCGTGTGGGAGTAACCAAACAATATCTGATTTGATTTAAGGCCCACTTAAATCACATGAGATGAAACCCATATCTGATGCTGCTTGGGTGACCGAGAACCTAGGCCTAGTTAGCCCAGAGATCTAAGATAAAAATCAAACACTGCTGTTGTGAAAGAGAAAATGAAGTAGCAATAAAATGATTCCTAAAGATGCTCTGCTCTGCTCCTAGATCCGTGACTCACTCAGCCATCATCAGGGAAGCTTCCTCTTGCAGCAATGGGAACAAAATCGACAGACAACTGCCAGAAACAGAGACACCTCGGAACACTCAGTCCTAAGTGGGATGTCTCTTTCAGCTCCACTCTCCCCCCAACCCACGGCTCAGGGAACCCCACAGAGGAGGAAGCAGAAAGGGTGAGGGAGGCCAGATGGGATAGAACACACCAAGAAAATGAACCTTCTAAACATGGCAGTACCGATGCACCTATGAACTCATAGAAACTGAGGCAGCACGCATAGGGCTGCCCAGGTCTGCACCGTACAGGGACCTAAAGCTGAAAGGAGAAGTGGACACATATTCCTAATCCTTAACTCAGATGAAATCTCCAATTGACAACCATTTGCAAATGAAAAATCAGTTTTCTCCAAGGGAAACAAACCACATGTCCAACAGTGGATGGCCACCACAAAACTCACTCAAAGGCATCTTTGGAGGTTCCTTGTCTCACAAGGTCATGTCAGAGCTTTTATTTTTAATCTTACATTTTATTATTTAATTAATTTACTACTCTAGGTTTTGCATATATATTATGCTTTTGGTCTTGTGTTCTTACGGGATTCCTGAATGCACAAACGGGTGGGCCTCCACATCTATAGCTGTTTCTGGTGCCTTTTGGGGTCTCTTCTCCTTCCTCTAGTTTTGCCCCATTCCACTCTGTTTGCTTTTGTTTTGTCTTATTATATTTTATTTAATTTTATTATTATCCCTTAGATAGCTGTTTGTTTTCTAAGAAGATTTCTAAGGTAGATTTATGTGGAAGGGGATGTCGGGAGGAACTGGGGGGAGTAAAGGGAAGGAAAACTGAAATTAGAACATATGGTATGAAAAAAATGTATTTTCAATAAAAGAAAAGAAGACCATCCTTTAAAAAAGCAATTATATTTATATCATTTCTCCCCTCCTCTGTCATCCCTCAACCCCCCAAACACTGTCTCCTTCATTCACACATTCATAGATAATTAATATAGAAATATAGTTGAGTTGCCGGTCTGCATAATGTTACAAGGCTGGCTACTTGGTACTGGCTAACCAGTTATGGGAGTGGAAACATTCTAAATGTCCTTTAAATGATGACTAGATAGTGAAAATGTGGTATATACACACTACAGGATAGACTGTAAAGAAAAAGGACACCACGACATTTGCAGGTAATGGGCAGAACTAGAGAAGATCATAGTGAGTGAGATAACTCAGACCCAGAGAGACAAACGTCCCATGTCCTTCCTTATCTGTGAGTCCTTGCTTCCGCCTCTCTTGTATACTCTTACTTCTTACTAATAATCCTTAAATTTGAACTTATTCATTCTATGTAAGTAAGAAGCTAGTGGCCCAATTACGTGTTGAACGTTTTAGTAAATACATATTAAAATACGTTATTGCTTTGTAATTTCAAATTTCTTCCTTTTGTTATTTAGCATATTATTTTCTTTTTATAGTTATGCACACAGCGGGTTTTAAGTGCCTATAGATTATATTTGAGGATGCACACAGTGGTAATAACTTACTATGCGCTCCCTGCAGGAAATGTGTTTGGCAAGATTGACAGCCACTGTTCTAAGCGTTGCCCAGATGCACTGAGAAACTTCTTTTCATTCTTACAACTCTCCATCCACCAGCAGTCGCTGTTGTTAGAGAAGAGGCACCTGGTGTGCACACAGCCAGCTTACATGACTCTGGTTAGGATCCTCCCTTTGTGAGTCCCTGAGCTTTGCCTGCCAGTTGCTTCCCTGTCTCTACACTAGATGCCAGCAGCGCCCTGGGACATTGCTCAGATGGCTGTGCCTGTTCTCTGGTAGTTTTTAATGACAACTCGAAAATACTGCTCCTGTTTCAAGCACACCAACATCTTAATGGAACTGAAGGGCGGCTAATAAACTCTAGGTCTCCGGATCACCGTCTTCTCTGTTTCTGAACAGCAAGGTTAACCTTATGCAGGGCAACCTCACAGGTGAGCCTGGAGCACCACCGTGGGCTCTCGTCCCAGTGCTGACTCTCTTGCTCCCCACAGCCCACATCTGCTAGAGACTGGCCGTATATATTTACCTTTCATTAAACGTGTCATCGCTGCCATTCACACAGAGTCCCAGAAGCGTTGCACAGAAGCCAGGGGCCGAGCCCCGGGGACAGGGAACTGTGATCCTGTGATTCTTTCTGACTCCTGGGAAGCAGCGTTCCCCAGTTCTGCCCCACACACAGCCAGGGAGAAAACTGAGTCAACTCTGTCTTTGCTTTTGCTCAGCAGAATGAAAAAAGAAAGAGAGTGCCTTTTGCAAATAAACACATGTCTCCTCTGCGTTTCTGGGGATCTGGTAATAGTACGGGAAGAAACGCAGACATCAGCAGGTGGCTATGGTGTAGGGCTGTCCAGGCAAACATCCGTGATGTTCCTGTAGACCACGGCAGCACGTGGCTACTGACACCTGATCATGTGACTAGTGTGGGTGAGGAACCGAGCTTCAAATTGTATTGAATATCTTTCATTTATGTTTTATAAACCATATGTGGCAAGTGACCTCCGTGTTGAACGGACACATACAGGGTAAGAGACAACAGCATTAACACGGGGCTTGCAAAGTATCCTGTCTGTGCTGTAGTGTATCAACACAGCTGATTTCTGAATGGCAGGGCTCAACATCCATCAATTGGGGACTGAAAATAAGAATTTTAATTGCTTTCTTTCGTCTTCTAGAAACAGCAGAGCCATGGCGCTCAAGGACTCACTGCAATTGTGGTCATCTGCGTGAGACCGCCACAGGACAAGGTCACTCAATATTACATCAAAGCTGGATGACTGCCCAGTGACGTCCCGCTCTTCCCCAGGAGACGGTTGACAAGCAAAATCAGTGGTGCAGTCACCTGTTAAGGTGTCCTAGCTCCAGTAAAGAACCTCCCATCACACTTGGGTGAGAAACATGCAAGTCAGTATTGCTACAGGCAAAAGAAGACATCAAAGTAAGGGAGGTTTACTGAGAAGGGACTGGTGCACGCGAGAGAAATGAAGTATATAAAATTATTGGAACTCATTTTATAAAGGTATGAAACTACCAAACAATAAAATTTTCAAATAAATGTGATAAGACACTATATATTACATATATAGAAACAGTATATATAAATATACACATATATAATTTAAGTTACATTCTGTACTGAATACATAAAACTCTCTTCTTTCATTATTGCCCAAATAGTAAACTATATGACCTATGACCTACTTAAATAACATTGTAAATGCTCCATTGTGTTAAGGGTTGTAAGTGATCATAGCTCATTTGTATGCATATATATCTCCATATGTGATATATATTTAATTTATACATACATACACACATACATACATATGTAAATATGATGATGCAGAGGGATACTGAAATGGGACCTGGAGCTAGAAGCTGTTGTTATTGGACAGGTAATACTGGGGCGAGAATTTACCACAAAGGGTAAGATGAGTCTGCCGTTTGGAATAGGAGCTTCCTACAACACAGAGATAAAAGGGAGCAGAATCAAGATCTAAGAACCAGAGAGGGAATGAAGGGCATTGAGCAAAGAGAGGAGGTGGGGAACACCAAGGACATCACCCTCCATTAGGTCCACGGGTTTCAATGTAAACAAGAGACAAGCCCAGAGTAAGAGAGCCAGGGGTCGCTCCAGACAAGGAAGAGGAGGCAGGCCCAGCCTGCAGGCCAGGAGGGCGGCCTGAGACTGGAGATTGCTGGGACCGGCAGCAGACAGGCACCCAGTGCGATGACCAGAAGAGAAGCAAAGCATGTGCAATACTGACGTCTGGGCATCAAATGGAATTTTTGTTAGCTACTGATTTAATGTTTCTCACTTATTTCCTTTTTCTTCTTTACTTTAAATGATGTTATAAATGTAATAAGAAAACCATTGGATCATACCAATAATTTCAATTTACAAGGTGCACTGGAAGAAAGCCTGTGTAGACAGAATTTAGCAACTCAGGCAGATGCAACAGGCTTGGTGCCATGTGGTCTCCACAGCATTTTTGGTAGGTGTTGTAAGCATTATAGCGAGGAAACTGAGGCTCAGGAAACGTAAGAAATTTGTTCAAAGTTATTTAGCTCAGAGAGAACAGATGCCGGTTTTAACCAAGACTCAAGCTCTTTGTCCTGGTGTCATGTCAGTGGCTTGCACAATTCTGATAGCCTGACATACTTGTTTATAAACACTCAGTAGATAAATGATTAGAAAATACATAAATAAAGCTGAGATTTTGTGTTTATTGTCCTACATAACCATTGGCTTCTTTACATTTATATAACTAGTTCCCCCCCACACCGCTGCCCCAAGAAGTTTTAGATGTTAGATGCAGAGAGCTGTTTCGAGCCATCCATCTGAGCGATGGGCCCACCAGCCTTCTCTCTCTGTACCCTTCTGCAGGATGTCTATTGACCAAATGATGATGGAGCTGGCCATGCAAATTGGCTTCTGCTCTTGGGCAGAGTGTTTACAGCCTTACTGTCCAGCTGTGAGGAGCATGGAGCATCCTAGATGAACTGGTTTCTCTGGTGGGAGTCGTCTGCATGCGTAGGAACCCAGCATTTATACTCTTTCATTCCAGATCCTGACTTGCCTGATGGTGAAAGCAGCCACCTCAGTGCCTGCATGCCCAATTGTAGTTGACTTGGCATTTCTGGATGGCTAAATGACCATTCTTGATGGCTTCATAAGCATCCCCCCCCACAAAGACATGCACTCAAAATTCCATAAAAACTGGGGCTACATTTTCATCAAGGAGGCCTCTCCTCTAAACAGAATGCTAAGATACCTTGTCCTCTGGTAGCAAAGGCTCAATGATTCAAGAGAGAACCCTACAAAATCTGTTGAAATGGCTGTAAACAGCACAGATGGCTATGAACTTTACAAAAGACCAAGAGAAATTAGTTATCAATTGTGAGTTTGGCACATGGATCACTTGCCAGGTTAATAATTTCATCAGATTGAATTTTGGATAATTTGTTCTCAGCAGCCGGAGGTTTGCTGATCCCCTCTCCCCCCCCCCCCCTTTACTAACAACTTTCAAGCCTCCTGTCTCCTCGAGGTCCTGTTCTCAGTCCTTCATCTTCTCAAGAGAGACCACAGAGACCAGCGGCCCAAAGCTGCTGGTGATGAGGAACTCTTTCTGTTCTTATTATTCCTTAGACAGCATGGCCTTGTGGGAAGGTTGTGGTCATTCTCCATAGCCACCTCTGTGCTGCTTGCTGGCTTTGTATTTCTTGGCCAGTGACTCATGGTCCATGGCTTTCTTCTTTCCTTTTTCCCTTTCCGTTTCTCCTTTTCTTTTCCTTCCTCTCCCTTCCCTTCCCTTGCTCTCCTCTTTCCTCCCCTCCCTTCCTCTCTTCCTCCACCCCCTCCCTCCCTTCTTCTTCCCTCCCTCCTTTCCTCCCTTTCTATTTTCTCTCCTCTTACTTTCTCCTGTAATAGGAGAAATATATATATAACTATACATAACAAATATATATTTAATAATATATCATAAAATATATAAATATATCTTTGAGAAGGATTTTACAAGGTTTAATGGAATAGTGTGTGTGATGGCCTATGGCATTGCTGTACCTGGAAACATTCTCAGGTCAGCTTTTCGTTCTTCCCTCTGTGGCCTCCATCTCCTCAGCACACACTTTCAGCCTTTCCTCTGACTTGCTTTGCTCTTCTTACCTAAGCCTACTGACTCATGTCCTATATCCTCACACCTCAGCTCCCGTAACTGATGGAACGATCTAAGATAAGGTGAACGTTGGTACACATTGCCAACAGGTGGTTGCGCAGGCAAAACTCACCCACTGCCAACTTTCACTCCCAACTCCAAATTCTTGGCGCTTAGTGCTCTGAGGGTTTTTCCACCTTCTTTCTATTACTTTGATAAAAGATAAATTTATTCTGTCTTGAGAGTGAGCACGGTGCTCAGTTCCAGTCAAAGTGTGTGTGTGTGTGTGTGTGTGTGTGTGTGTGTGTGTGTGTGTTGGGGGGACAATAGGAGACTTCTGAAAAAGAGCTTGTCCTTCTTGAATCCAACCACTCTTGGAGACTGCCATGTTTGTGGGTAACAGGATACCTGAGACTGTCAGATGTGAGGAAACATACCAAGTCAATGAGACAAGACGCTAAAGATGGCAGAGGAAAAGGGTAGATGGACCCCAAGTCTTGTAACACTGTCATGTGGGTACTGTATTTAGTAAAGATCACAGACAAAGGAAGTATGTTGCATGAAAATCCAGCAGAGTTTCAAGGCCATAGATCCCGGGGACTTTTGGGGATCTTCTAATGCCTCCACCTTTCGTATCTGCAGCGACTGGAAGAATGACGTGGTGCTCAGCAAAGCAAGCACTGGAGGAGAGACCTTCATCCTATCAAAAACTGATGCTACGGAAACGAGAGGATGTGGGCTGGGTCCCGCACGATCCAGTCTAGCTGTTTGAATTCGGCCTTCAGGTCTTATTGACTATACCATCTTGACTAAATTAATGAACCTTTCTGCACTTTGGATTCCTCATCTGTAGAATGGGTTCAATAATAGCAATTACCATTTTGGGTCACTATGAAGATTAAACAGATGAAAAATATGTATATAGATGATTATGAAAGTCAGGATCCCAGAGTTACAGATCAGTCAACATCATCCATTGTTCTAGAAAGCTGAAAATTTATCATACCTGGGTGAGGCAATTATTCGGCAGCATCAAAGAGAGCTGAAACTTCCAAACTGAGAGCTTAACCTTCCAAATACAGAAGACTGCCCGACCGTCTTTCTTCCTTCCTGCCTTCCTGCCTTCCTGCCTTCCTGCCTTCCTCCCTCCATCCTCCTTCCCTTCTTTCCTTCCCTCCCTCCCTCCCTCCCTCCCTCCCTCCCTCCCTCCCTCCCTCCCTCCCTCCCTCCCTCCCTCCCTCCCTTCCTCCCTTCTTTCCTTGCTTCTAATACATATATTCTGATTATGACTTTCCCTTCCTCTTCTCCTCCTAGTTCCTCCCACCTCCCCTTCCATCCAGATCCACTCCCTTTATCTCTCATTAGAGAAGAATTTCTAAGGCTTCTAAGAGATAATAATAAAACGTAACAGTAAAATATAATAAGGGAGAAAGGAAACTAGCATTGGAATTAGATAGGACAAGCAAACTGAAGGGAAAGAGCCCGAGAGCAGTCACAACGACCAGAGACCCACTTGTTCACACAGTCAGTAATTCCATAAAAACACTAAAGCCATAATATAAGCCCAAAGGACCTGGGCCGACCCGTGCAGGCTCCGTGCTTGCTGCCTCAGTCTCTGTGAGTTCATTTGAGCTCTGCTCTTGTTGAATCAGAGGACCTTGTTTCCTTAGTGACCTCCATCCCTTCTGGATCTTACACTCTTCACCTCCTCTTCCATGGGATTCCCTGAGCTTATGGGGAGGGGTTTGGTGGATACATCCAATTTACGGTTGAGTATTCCAAGGTCTCTCACTCTCGGTGTAATGTTTAATCTTAATTTCCAAAAATCATTTTCTTAGATAAGTGATGTCAATAATCAATATCCATTTTTTCCCTGTTAAACCAGATTTTTGTTTCTACTTTTATAGGTCAAAATCACCCCTAAACCGAGGTTTAAGACTCCACTCTCGTCTTGAGATGTCAACAGCACCTAAGCTAGGCTACTGGGTGCTATTTCTATTTACTTTGACTTGGTGCTTGCCTCACTGGCTACTCTTTCTCAGCCTTCATCATCATCTTGATTTATCTGTGTCCCTGGCCATAGGAATTCCTTGTTTTCAGTTTCTTGGGCCACATAGCTCAGGCTTGCCATCACACCTGCTCAGAGCAAGAGGGCCCTGCAACTGATTGTCCCACCAGTCACGTTCTCAAATGCAGGGGCACTAATCACCTCATTGCCCGCCCCCCCCCCCCGTGCCTGTGACAAAACACAAGTATTTTAGAACTGTAATGTCTCGTGAAGAGTGCTCAACCCACCCAAACCAATGGCATCAATGTTATAAGAGACCTATTTCATCCGCTCTCTCTTCCCTTTCTCGGACTCATTTTCTCGCTGTATGTCTGTCCTGCTCCATCCTGCACGTCGAATCTTTTTGTGTGGATTGTGAGTTTGTTTCCCAACTCCTAAGACACCCATACTGTTGCTTGTATCAGAAGAGTTGAGCAAACAGAAGGTCAGTTGCTCAACGATCCCAACTTGAATGCTTTATTTTGAGAAACATAGAGAAAGGTACTGAGGTGAAATGACGGAATCACACTGGTCCCCTACCCAGAGGCAGAAATGGGAGGAGAAAAAGAGACGAGAAGGCAGACACATGGCTTCTCCTCCTGGCTGTGTCTGGTTCCATATTTGGAAAAATAACCCTAAATTTCTCTTCATTTATTTTTGTTTATAATAAAAAGTGAGGCTAAGCTTGAGATGGGTCAGGCTGTCAGAGAGCAAGCAAGGAAGGAAATCAGGCTGAAGTGCATGGCACTTGGGAGTGTGAGGAATGAGGAAGCTAGGGCTTGCCTTTCTTTTCCGTTTTAAATATTAAAAATCACCAAGTCCAGTAGAAATCCTACCTTCCTATTTCCTTCCTGAGGGTATGCGTGAGACCGTCCTAACTTTTGCTTGCTGGAAGTCTGCAGTTTTAGAGTCAACTTTTTCAAAGCTGATACCATGTCCACAATTCCACATGAAGACGGACTTAGAGACCGCCAAACCCGCATGGGCCCCCAAGCTGCACAGAGCCCTGATGAATGAATAGGACCACATTATAAGGGTATCCAGAGAGTAGGGCAAAAGTTACCGACTGTCTTCCTGAAATATACCGGCAAGAATGCGAGCCTTAATTAACGAAGCCCAAGGTTGATTTTTCTTGCTGCCTTTTTCTCTGAAAGACAAATAATAAGAAATGAATGAGGTTGGGAGCAAATGAGAACCATATTGGGAAAGCGAAGCCTAGTCAAACTTTTGGCTGGGCTGGTTGCAAAGAGCTAGAGTTCTTTAATCATCTCATTGGAGATGTAGCCAAAAGAAAAATGCAATTTGAAACACACACACTCATGCACACACTCACACACACATACACACACACTCACATACACTCTTCCACACCCACACCCTCCCTCTTTTTCATTGCAGATGAATCAGGATGGTAAGATGGTGGAGACAGGATATGATGAGAACCATTCCTGCTCTCCACCTACTTTATAAAAAGCCTTGGCAATCATATCTGGGAGACCCATCTATCAATTCTTATAGCTTAAGTGTGTATGGTACAATGTTCGTTGACCCCAATAAGCCCCGAGGCAGCTGAAGTTGGCCGTGGGTTGGGTATGTGCTAAAATGGTAGCACCCGGAGGCTCCAGACTTTTCTAAGAGATGTGTTTCTGGAAGAAGAAGGATCTGTTTGAGAATGAAAGCACTCTACTCCATCTGAAAATGGGCAAGGCCCCTATAATAGGATTCAGATAAGCCTCTTTTGGAAGTAAGATACCCCCTTACTAGCGAACAAATTGATGAAACACAGAACCATTTTTCTTATGCCTGGCTTGGCCGGGTCAGATGTACACAAAATCCCCTCTCCACTCTGCTCTTCACAATTCTTTGGTGTAAGGATTTAAAAGGTGCTATTGTCTTTGTTAATAAAGAGACAGAAAACACCGTCTTGTTTTATGGCAGTAAAAGATTGTGATGGAAAAATTTTTTAATAAAGTCTCACTTAGGTTGATAGTAAATAAATTCAATGTACCTTAGGAATGTTTTTATTCAGCTTTCATTATTTCCTTTGCTTAAAGAGAATGGTTTAGCTTCCTGGTTCCCTTATCTCCTTATTTATTATTCTCCAGGGAACAATGGAGTCTCTTAGCTTCCGAATTATCTGGGAACACTCAGCTCAGATTCTTCGACTTTCAGAGGGGGAGTTAGTTGCTCACAGAGAGAAACATCTCGATTTCCCAGTGAAGGTTACTTCCCACTGTGGGAGTCCAGAGACGCCAGACTCACTTGAGTGACAGAGAGCCATATCTCCAAATCTGGCTTCTGGAAATAGCAGAATGCATTTCCAACCTCCGCTTGCCAATTGCCTATTATAGTTATCAGTTTGTACAGAACAAAGAAGTGAGAAGCTTTATTGGCCCTTCTTTGCCATCCCCTTTCATAGTTTAAAGGGCAAGTTAATGAATGGAGAACTTTAAAAAGAAAACAGTTTTAGTTCTGATCAGGGTTCTCTTTCTTTAGGGGACTTAATTTAGGAACAATATTACTATGGTCTAGATAGGAGCCACCCAAAAGTCCGTGTGGGCAAAGGCTTGGTTTCTAGACTGGCATTACTGAAAGGTAGTAGAAACTATAAAGAAGAGATCTAGCTGGGTGGTGTTGGTGCATGCCTTTAATCCCAGTACTTGGGAGGCAGAGTCAGACAGATCTTTGTGAGTTTAAGGCCAGCCTGGTCTACAGAGCTAGTTCCAGGACAGCCAGAGCTGTTACACAGAGAAATCCTATCTCGAAAAACAAAATATATGACAAAACAAACAAGCAAGCAAACAAAAAGAGATCTAATGGGAGGTCTGTAGGTCATTGGAGGCATGGCCTTGAAGAAACAGTGGGACCCTGGTCTCCTGCAGGTGGGATGGCTAGCTAGTGTTATCACCCTTACTGAATCCAGACCACCAGGGTGTCATGCCTCTGGTCATGCCTACATGGATTGTCTTCATTATGTGTGTGTTAACTGATGTAGGAAAGAACACCTTAACTGCAGGAAGTACCTGGACCATGTCAGTGGAGAGGGCATGTTGAGCAAGAGCTAGCACACATCCATCAGTTGCTGCCCGTCTCTTCACTGAGGATACAATGTGAGCACCTCTCTCCAGCTCCCACTGCTATGCCTTTTCCCACAGTGATGGATTGCAACCTTGAACTGTGAGCTGAAATAAGCCATTACCTCCTGACCTTGCTTCCTTTCGAGCATTTCGTCACAGCAACATGAAAAGAAACTAAGATATCTGTTCTTGCCGTGACATGCTGTCAGAGGCCCAAAATAGCTGGGTCAATTGAGCATGGTGGACACTCTTAGAACTATAAGATGAATAGAGTCTCTTCTTTCTAACAGTTGCTTGTCTTGGGCATTTATTACAGGGCCAGAAAGTTAACGAACACAGATGTACAGATTGTATATACTACAATTTTTTTGAATTTAAAATTAGTTCATAAAACCATTTGCTTGGAATTATATGTGCAATAGGATACAAAATAAAGACTTACTCTTCTCAATGTGTGTCAGAGACATTTCCAACTAGAGAAGCCTTCAAAGGCTCCTTCTGGGAATTCCCAGGGGTTCCACAGAGTTTGCGGATCATACTATTTTGTTCTGGGAGAGGAGTATTGGCGGACGTTTTGATCTTTAAACACCCACAAACTTGCCTGTGCCTTAAAGAAGGGAATCTTTGAAAAGGTACTATGCAAACTTCACAAAAGCAAAACAGGAGAGAAATTGGAGAAACTGGGAGAGAACCACTGAGGTAGAACAGGCTTCCATTAACCAGTGCCAGAGACAGGGAAGACCAGCAGAGCCTCTGCACGTCAAACTGTCTTGAAGAAAAGAGAAATCACAGTTGATAGGCTGCGTTGGGAACACAATGAATGAATAGCCATCCCAGGGATCAGCTAACAGATTAACACTGAAACGTTAACCACAACATATCAGTGTCAAAGCTGGAAGAGGTAGCCCTCTGTTCTGGTTGACTAAGGACTGACCAGTCTGTGCTGAGCTCAGCTGCATGCTCCATCTGACTTCTAATAGCCGTGCTCAAACCTGCTCAGTTCTGTTAAAGCTCAGCTGCCCTAGCAAGGCTGTATCTGGTGTAGCTCAACTCAATTCCACCAACAAAAAATGCCAACAAAAAAGTCTTCTTACATCCTAGTATTAGGACAGACAGCTGATTTTCTTCTTTCCCAATGGTCAAGGTCAGTCACGTGGCTACATTTAAATTTAAGACATGGGAAATGTGCTCTGCTCATTATAGCGGAAGATCTTCAAAGTCATAAGGCAAAGGGTGTGGAGGTAGAGAGGACTGGGGAACTGAGATAGGTGATTCTGTCTGCCAGTGTGGGAGGGGACATGCTTAGGCACACAGGGCACATTTCACAGTGGGGGCTCCCTTAGACATAAGGACGTGGGCACCAGTGTTTGTGATCTGAAGAACGAGGATAGAGCCAGGAAATAGGAACTCACAAAAGAGCTACGTCTTCGCATGGAGCACTATACTAACCCAAGGAAGACCATCATAAAGAGAAGAGTAGCCATCAACTTGGGTGGGAACTCTGGGAATTACAGGGAATTCTAAATTCTCCCTCTGAAAGAAAACTGAAAGCCTCCGGAAACACTTGGGCAGTCATAATGTTTATAAGGCAGAACTAAAAACTACTGAGATTCTGTGCTCCCTGATAATATAACACAAGTGAGCACGAAGTTAAACCAGAAAGTAAAGAGACACGTATGCACCCTGGCTTGTGGGCACAGAAGCCTTCACGTGAAACCTGACAACTCAGTCAGAGGGAATGGAGGGCACCAGGAGAACAAGGCCCTCTGAATTAGCTAAGCAAGGTGTGTATGGGCACACAGTGGCTGGAGCAGAAGGTACAGGGTCTACATGGTCTTCACCAGGTCCTCCGTGTGTATGTTATAGCTGTTGTCTTAGTATTCTTATAGGACTCCTGACCATGAGAACAAGTGGGCCTCTGATTCTAATGCCTGCTCTTTGGATTCCTCTACTCCCATTGGGTTGCCATGTCCAGTGTCGGCATGATGGTTTTTGCTTCATCTCATTGTATTTTATTTTGTGAGGTTTGGTTGTTGTCTCTTAGAAGTTTGTTCTTTTCTAACGAGAAACAGAAAGGGAGCGGATCCTGAGGAGAGGGGACATGGTGAGGAACTGGGAGGAATGGGGCCAGGGAAACTGTAATCAGAATATAGTGTATGAAAAAAATAATATATTTTCAGTTTTTAAAAAAATTAAAAGCAAGGAAGAATGCTAACAACTCACAAATTAATCCATCTAATTCTGCCCCTTGCTTCTTCATTCTTTCTTTGCCTAATTTTCTAAAATTGATAGCTACAGATAACGAGGAAAAGGTCACCACTCCGATGTGGAAAATGGTCGGTGTTTTGGAGTAGAGATTGGAGATATTTTCAATTGTCTCCCTCCTCCAAATCAGCTTCAGGATGAGCCCCCCTCCAATGTGTACAATCAGAACTGAATCCTAAGAGCCATGGCTTTTCTGTTTTCTGTCCCTATGTCTGCTGCCTGACTGCCTCACAGTGTGTGGGTCTCACAGCATGCCTCTTCCACGCCCCCATTCTGTACCTAGTCCAGAGTGCTGCTGGGAACAGGTAAATGTTCCAAAGGAGAAAAGAGGGAACTAGAGTTCCTATGGTCTTTTAATGGACCCGAACTTTGAAACTCAATTGTTTTATTTACATTGTAGAGCAGGAGGTTACCACTGCCTAAGTCGCCTGCCTTCTGTCTAGAAACAGTTGAAGGCTAGGGATCACAGCTCCGCGGTCCTTTGCAAAGAAGAGATAGGAAAGGAGTTCTGTGCCTTGTGAGTGACATTGTCCTTGGGGGTGACGAAGATGTGGAGATAAAGATGGTGTCACTAAAAACATGAACATGCTTGAGCTTTATTCTGATTTATTATTATTTTTATTGTTACAACTGTGACGATATAAACACATGGTTTAAAAGTCAAAGGTCAACATGGTGACCTGGGTACATTATTCCCCGTGTCCCAAAGAATGTGCATGTTTAGCTACATACATGCAATCTGCATATAGCAATGGTTAGCAGGTGATTTGGGGTAGGTAGTTTATTCTACCTGGATTTGTTTGTTTGGTTGGTTTTTAGAGTGAGGAAAGTAATGTGTTCCTCACATAATTAAGACTAGATGAGTTGGTATGTTCAAAGTATATGTATAAAATTGGTATTTGATAAACAGTAGCCAATGTAACTACTCATGTCTTTAAACAGATACAAACAAACATGGAGGAAATTCGGTTTTCCTCCTTCCTATGTCAGGCCCGATATTCTGCCTTGAATCTTCATTCATACTAACAGAGGTAAGTTAATGTGATTTCTTAAGTAAAGACATTAAATCCACTGACTTCTAAACTACTGTGGGAAAGTTTATGAGCAAGTCAAGGTGAAGATTTTCTTTCCCTTCTTTCTCCTCATCCTAGGGGACTGTTCAGCCGCAAATATGCGGCTGCTCCTGCTTAGGCACCTAAGTACTGCCAGGGGATGAGTTAGAGATAGACTACTCGTGTTTGTTTGCTGTGGTGCTGGGCTAACCCTGCCTCCAAGGCGCCTGGCCCTCTGTGCATCCAAGGTGTGCTCCTATACACCAGCTATCCTGTAGGAGGCAGCGACGTTCTCCCAGAACTCCAGCGGTGACTTCTGAGCTTCATCCTTCTGTTCCCTTAAGATGGCTCCAAGGTCTCCAGTGGGCTCACTCTTTCCCAGATAGCTTTTGTTTTTTATTCAATGTTTCCTCATTGTTGTGACCAAATGCCAGACCATAAATAACTTAAGAGATAAACAGTGTAGCTCATAGTTCAAAGAAATGAGGTCCATCGTGCTGGGGAAAGCATGGCGGGAGGAGGGGACTGGTCCCTGGTGCTGATCAGGAAGCAGAGAAAGGGGAAAGCCTGATTTTCTTCCGGTCTTCTCCTGTTTCTCCCTCTGTTTGATCTGGCATGTCAGGCCACAGGGTGGGGCCACCTTAGGGCAAGCTCTACCATCTCAGTCAACCCCATGGAAATGTCCTCATTGGCACACCTAGAGTTGCGTCTGTCAGATGATTTCCAATCAAGACAAGACAACAGAGAAGATCAACCATTATACTCAGCAACCTGGGAATGCTGTCAGATGGCCATTCGTACCCTATTCAAAGTGACACCTCAAGGACAGTAGCTGGCTGCCTTGTTGAGCTGTTGTTCCTACCTCACTTTGGATCTATAACAGTAGGTTGTGTTTATAACTTAGTAGACTTCACACAGAAAGTAAAAGCCACATTCTCTCCATTCTCAGACTACCCAATTTAAAGAAGTTGGTAGTCCTACAGACACGTCTGCACCCACGGCTTTATAATTGGAAGGATATGCAGCTTCTATTTGACACCTGGCTTTCTTTTTCACTGCTTCAATCTCTACCAAACTCTAAAATAGGGTTTTTCCTCTTAGTTGGCCACTGGGGAGGGTCACAAGTGGAACAAAGGACACCCCAGCCCACCCCAGGTCCTTTCTAAAGCCAGAGCTTGGGTTCTTTCTTTCTGCCATGTTTAGATTACACACAGCTATTCAGGGCACCAGCAAACGACATGACAGAGAATATGTGTGGGAAGTATGTTTGCCTGTGTTACGCATTCTCCTTCAGACGGTGCTCCATGGCTAGCTATGACTTCAGCTAGTCCGTCAGCTGGTCTTTGTTTCACAGGGCCGTGTATTACCCAGGAACCCTCAAGCAGGGAGCTTTGATTGTTTTAAAAAGTGAGGACGGCTAGAAAGACGGGAGATATGATGAGGACATGAAAGCAAAAAGAGCTTCTCATCCCAGAATCTGGTTGAAGCCTCTCGCTGGTGGAGAAGCAGGAATTCCAGGGCAATTAACAATTAACCTCCTCTCTACCCAGGTGTAAACCTGCAATCTTCTAGGAATCTCACCAGAAACCCCATTTAAAATAAAGGTACATAACTTTAAATCCCCTGTGCCACCTGAACGGGTTCAGATTTTATTCTATCATATTGTAATTCCATCGGAGGCATCTTTGGAGTACCCTGCAATCTCTATTATTAAAATGGGAAACTGAGATAGAGCAGCTGAGGGTCTCTTAGAAACCTGTTGAGCAGTGAAGTTCCAAAAGCTTCCAAACCCTAGAATGGGCACACACACACACACACACACACACACACACACACTCACATCCCCTTGGAAACTTCAGTAAGTCTTCTTCCTTTCCTGGACATCTCACATCTTACTAACCCCTTGTCTTAAGATCTTTGATAAAATGTCTTTCAATAATAGACTTAAACTCTGCTTCACTCTGCCTTGTTCTGGAATTTTCTCCACTGAAACCAAGAGCCCAGTTTTACCCAACTGGAAGTCCTCGGAAAGGTTAAGAAAATACCCAAGGCTGCTGGTGGCTGCTCTGGGCTGTTTCCTATCCTGCTGTCATTGACAAAATGAATCAACAATTTGAGGACAGCATTGGGCTTGGTATGCAAAGGCCTGGGCTGACTCCAGACCGGGCTTCAACATTCCTAGGTGACCCTGAATATATAATCTTTAGAGACAAGGTTTTCTTCTTTCAAATTTTAGACAACATATCAACTATTTTTTCTCAAAATTTTACAAAAAGTTATTCTAGATGTTGTTGAAAGTGATGAAATATAGTACCATTGTAAATGTAATTAAACTCTCAAATATGGCTTCCTGATGCACCGTATAACTGAGCTCACATTAGTAATTTTCTATAGCTCATTAAAATAAATTAAGAGAAGCTAAATGGCCCTCTACAAAACTTTATAGAGCTATTCAGGCAATAATCAAAGCATCATAAACAGGTTATTTAGAAGAATTACTTGGCTTTCTGGTGTTTGAAGCTACCTCAAGTAAAAAGAGTAGGCTTTGAGGCTTTGATATAACCCATAAAAATGTCAGACACCATTTTGATCATTTTACATTATTAATTCACTTACTGACAGGCTAGTCAATTTACTCTTAAATATACTTAGGGTTTTTTTTTAATTGGTAAATTAGATTTTCTTAAATCCATGTCAACCTCCCACATCCTAGTTTCTTTCCCATATCTATGACTTTTGGTTGTGTTGAGCTGGCCATTTGATTTAGTTAGGGGCGTCTGTGTAACCACTGCATTGGGGGAATACATTGGAGCCTGGAAGGATCACCAGTTGCATGCAACTAAGGGAATGACTCCTTGTTTCCATGAGTCTATCTGAAGGAATTACGTAAGTAGCAAGGGATAGCGTCCTCTGAGATCCTCTCCATTCTTGTCTGCCTGTTGTTGATGGGTCCATTTTTTGTTTTGTTTTGGTTTGGTTTTGTTTTTTTGAGACAGGGTGTCTCTATAGCTTTGGAAACTGTCCTAGAACTAGCTCTTGTAGACCAGGCTGGCCTTGAACTCACAGAGATCGGCCTGCCTCTGTCTCCCGAGTGCTGGGATTAAATGCATGTGCCACCACCACCCAACCTGATGGGCCCAGTCTTGTGAGACCCTATGTATTCTCATCTGCCAGTTGATGCCCATTCTTGTGCGGGCCCAATTCAGTCATCGGCAGATGTGGAGAGTTTATAATCGCAATATCTGAAAACACACATAACTTTGATCTGATACCTTATATTGTTCCTAAGGAGTAAAGGATAACTCCCCAACTTCAGCGCTCAACATGCAGCTGTTATATCGTTTTGAGCTTCAAGGAAAGGAAGCATACAGGCCCAGGGTCAGTCTTGGCATGAAAAAGAAAGAAGCAGTTCAAATACAGCTTCTTACAGCCTGTCCTCCCAGCTGACCAAGAACACAGGCTTACTCTTTCTGTTGAATAAAAACCTATACCATTACAGCAGTGTAGGGTCAAGCTTCTAGCGTTAATAGTACAAAATTTTCCTTTGTGATTTTATTTATGTTTTTAAAAATGTATATTGATATGTCTAAATATGAATAATGGCTATTGTATGTGTGATAATGAAGAATTATTGTGTTATTTGCTAAATGTTAAAAAAGATCAAGTTTATAATGACATGAATTATTTATGACTAGAGGTATACTTGGAGTCTTCATTAATGAATAAACCTATGTTTTGGTTAGGTGCTTATGGCAATTTGCTCTTATTATAAAAGCTCAAAACTCTCAGAAGTTGATAGTTTTCCAGTATTCAGCAGCATGACTGGCCTGTATTTTCTTTCTTGTCTTTCCCATCGCTCAGTCAGTTAGTAGCTATGTAACTTGTGCCTTTGTATAACCCACTAGCCACCAGTTTCACCTTCACCTGCCTTATTAGGTTGTTCTGAATATTCAAGAGAGATTGGAAAGATCTTTAGAACATTGCTTGATTTCCAAGTCCTCCTCCCCAAATTACCCCTTCAAACTCCTGAAAAATCCTTCAAATGACAGAGAAGGTGACTGTGCATTTTCTAAGGAGGTCAGGACTCTCAAGGGCTTAGGGGCTCAGAGGCTTCATGGACAGACTTGACTGCGTGGGGACAGTAAATGTGCTGAAGGTTGAGCAAATGACGATATTTGGAATCAGGGAGATCAGCAAGAGGGCAGCCCTGGCCTTCACCGATTGTTATATAAGCCTACCTATCAGGACTCTGTGTTCCTGAGCCTTGAGTTCCTGTCCTGTTACGTCCTCAGTCCCAGATAAGGAGCTCTGTGCTGGAGCTTCTTGGGTCATGAGGGAGGAAAAAGAAAACAGAGGTTTCTGAAATGTGGAGGTGGGATACCGCAATAGCGTGTACAAACCCAAGGACTTGAGGACAAACACAAAGGAAACCGAAGCAGAGATACCAAGTCCACGTCACAGAGTAAAAGAAACAGTCATTTGAACTTTGGGAGGAGTGGAAGCTGCCCAAAAAAATGAGGCAAGGTGAGCCTCTTGGCCGAATTGCTGAGCAGTCAGGTCACATCTGAAGGACTAGATCATGCACAGCCTGGGAGCCATGATTTCATCTCTATATCCTTACGCTGTTATTTCAAGGGAAATTCCATCTCTTTTCAGTAACTTTATAAAACATTCATCAAAGCAGTACCCTGCACCTCATAGGGGGTTAAATCTTCATTGGCATGAATTGAAGCTCACTGTCCACGGGGCTGGGATTTGCCTGGAAGCTTCCAGGATGATGCCTGTTACCTTGATTTACAATCTAATGGTCCATTTGTCTTCACTTCACAAGACCAGTGCACTCATTCCTGAATGCTGGACTTGGCCCAGAGGCTCAGCATCTACATTGTCCTTTCTTGCTCGTGTTTCTAACACTGCCCTGTAAGGTCATTCCCAGGTTGTGATGGATATGGAGGCAGGATAGAGGAATAGATTCTTGGCCCTATCTCCAAATATTACTGTAGTTCCAGCCCTGTGTAAGCTATCTCTTAACTCTGTTCTCAGTTACTCCATCTGGGAAATGGGAATAACAAACCTCCTCTTGAGAACAAGAAGATGCATGAAAAACATTTTTAAGTGATTTCCAAGCTAGCTAAGAGGATAGTGCATCTTACAGAGATGTTCACAGGGATGAAGTCAGGCACACATAAAAGTAATCCTCTTTACTTTGGAATCAAACAGGATTATAGAACTTGGGCAATACATTGTTCAATACTTGATGGGGAGTGGCTGGTGTTCCAAGAAAACTGCTATCTAGAGTTGATATCAAGAGGGACTAAATACTAGTTTTATGAACCAGCAAGTTGCTCACAAAAGTCTAATCTAGGCTCTGACTCAAATCTCTTCACTAGGTTTCAAAGTCTAATGCTCTCAGAGTTAGACCGGGAACTGTACTGCCCTGGGGTCCATCTGATCCTTATAAAACTCTTTCACCCATGTAGAAGTCAGCCCCTGCTCACTATGCAGGGAGGACAGCCATTGCATGCTCTTCTAAAAAACCCAGGTCTCAGCCAAGTTGGAAGCACCATGCAGTGCTTCACTGAAGTCTAGGTGAAGGATGTACGGTGGGCATCCAGTGATATCTGTCAAATGACTGGATGTGCTTGCTCAGTGCAACTGAAGATCCGAGCAGGCCACTTACTTTCCTCTGCAATTAGATACAACTCCATACCTAGTACAGAAACATTTGGCCGGCACTCAAAGCGGTAGAGGGACTGGCGATAATAGCACTGACTAAATATTTGCTAACCGTGTAATTCATGACTGTCGAACTTTACACACTTCATCTGACTTTCACAGTGATCTTGGGAGGCATGGATTAGGATTTTACTCCTTCCAGGGAAAGCCAATGTGGCCCCAGAGACTTTTGTAATGTGCACGGTGCCTTAGGTTGCTGGGTGATCTCAGTGCAGGCAGTTTGAATTCATACTTCTACCCACTCAACTGCAGTATACTTCAGAGGTTGATGGCTCTGATTAGAGAAGCAGAGTCATGTCAAAGAGTCTGCACACTGTCACTGTCCCCTCTAACAAACCAGCAATGACAGCACTCCAGGTAAGTAGGGCTTGGCAGAGCAGGCAGGTATCTTATGTTTTTTAGAGTTACTATCAGGATGTGAATGGCAGGCGGGGCTGCTGGCTCCTTCTGTGTTCCTGGAGGTGGGTGGGGGTCCTCAGTTCAGCTACCTCTGTGTTCATCTCACGCACTTCCCATGCCTACAGAGAGCAGGTCTGACAGTCACGTGTGCCTAGCAACCAAATGCCAGACACCTGTTAAGTAGGAGGGAATACGGGCTCTAGAGTAAAGAGCAAAGGCCTATTTACAGAGCATTGAATCCACGCTTTCACTTCACGAGTACAGAAACTGAGGCAGCTTGCCAAGGGATCCAGTCTGCCTGGTAGTGGTGTAGAGAGCAGAAGCCAGGTCTCCTAACAGCACATCACAGGTGCTTTCTCTGCCCTGTAGGACACACTGGAGAGAGATGACCCTCTGAAGGCTGTGTTACCCTGAGGATCTGGGCACAATACCCTCAGCCAGCCCAATGGCCGTAGACGCACAGAAGGCAAGCCCAGCCATGTGGAAGGGAGAGGCTTCTGAGCCTGTGTACAAAAAGGATCCTTGGAGGAACCATTCATCCTGACCAGCCCCCTCCCACTCTTTGCCTGAAACTTAATTAATCATGTTTGCATCTGGATTCAGACAAGACAATAGCGAGGATGTGTTTTTGGTTAGGAACTGAAGCTGCATTCGCCGAGGAATGTTGATTAGTTAGTGGTCGGTATCATTTTTCATGCCTTTTTAAGTTACAAAAAATTTTAATATCAAAGCATTTCTCCCTGCACCGCACGTATCTATTTCTCATAAGTGCATTCTGCTGGCATAATTTCCCTTCCCTTCCTGCAGGCTCTGATTATGGGATGATCCATCAGGCTGTCTCAGCGTCTTCATGCGGCCCTTCAGCAGCCAGAGGCTTTCCAGGTGAGCTGGGAGCTGCAGGCTGCAGCCTCTCTCCATGTGGAAGGAAAAGGAGAAGGGCAGCTCGGGCCAGGGTACCACCCATTGTTGATCACAGAGATAGTAACGCTCCACTGTTCAGAGTGCAAGCTCTCTTATTGGCGTGCCCCAGATCGCCACTGGAAACCCTTACAGTGGAGAAAATGGCCCAGAACTCCTCTAGACCTGACCCAGCCCGAATGCCAGAACTCACTCTTCAATTCTGCTTTCAGGAAGTGCCCTGGATCTGGGAAAAGCGAGCACAGGAAGTATGTCTTAATGTATACAACATGCCCATATGTGTAGAACATGTCAAATCACAGATGGTAAGTCATGGCAGATAAGCAAAGTTCGAAATATGTGACAGGCGTGGAAATCTATCTACCTGACCAGCAGCCCTCAAGCTAGACTTCCCTTGCAGACAAAAGTGATGGGACCATAGAAGACAGTGAGATGCCCCTTCCTTCCTTCCGGTCAAGGGCCTTTCCAGCTCTGTTCCAAGCTTGGTGCAGGTATCCAAGGATACACCTGCCTGAGAGGGGAGCAAGAACAAGATGCTGCAAGATGCTCAGATGTAGGTTGGCCTTCACTGTCACTGATTTCCAATACCAGTAGCCCAAAGGAACCACAGGGCTCACTATGGGAGAAGATGTCTGGGGAAAATCAGGAGACTTGAGACCTATTTGGGTCACACCAGTTTCCAAAGATGTTCAGATCAGCTGAGGTAGTGGTTGACTTGACCTGAGCCCAGCCACGTTGACTCTGCTTACTTTGCTCCTGACTTGTGGCAGAGAGGGCCGACTGAAGATAAGATATGAAGCTGGTGACTGACCTGAGAACCAACATGCTAAGGTGTCAACCAAACAATAAACGCACTTTTGTGGAAACCAATCACGTAGTCAAACAGTTATTTATTCAGAAAATAAGGGGCTTCTCTTAGGCACTGAGCTACCCAGATCTCATGTAACACTACGCTTCATCTTTTGGGTTTGCCTTAATTCAATCTCATTCTTTTGCCCTTCTACTCCCCAGGCCTCCTGCTTGTGATTGACCAAGGACCAGGGTAGATGCAAAGATGTAACTACTCTCAGACCCATAGACAACTTTTAGCACCAGAAGTATCGATGGTAAGAGCAAGGGGCTAGCAAACTGTAGCATGTGGGCCGAATTTAGCTCATTACCTAATTCTACACAATTGTATTATAATGGCCTCATCTACCTGTGATATTGTTTATGGATACTGCTAGGCTGTCTAAAGACTGGTTAAGATAGACACTGAGAAATGTTAAAAATGTTTATATTTTGCATCTGGATAAAAGAACTTGCTGTAATGCAGAAGCCTCTTTCCAGCTAGGGAGCCAGTGGCCACATAGGCAGCCTACCCAGAATCCTTCACACTCAACTCTAAACCCCCGGTTGACAGGCTTATTGGGAAGCTCTTGGTTTTGTTTTTCATCTTTGTGACTCCTGCCCTCTGGTGGAAAAATGTCTAAGCAGTCTATAACTACATCAAGAAATGATGGAGAACTGTCTTGAAACTCAAGCTCTGTGGGAAACTTCAGAAACCAGGGCAAGCGTGGCTACAGGCTCTTGACCTTTGGAACTGATCTGACTTCAGAAGGATGATGTCCCTCAGTTACTGACTTAAGGCTATAGTCACACTCAGGGTAGGTTTGTGCCGACTCTAGACAGTCACTTGATGAACACAGAAAAACGAAATCATTCTCACTCAATTATTATACAGTTTAAAGGTGTGTATTTATTGAGGCCTGGAGAGATGGCTTAGTGGTTAAGAACACATAACTGTTGTAGAGGACCAGGATTTGGTGTCCAGCACCCACATGATGGCTTATAACAATCTGTAACTCCAGTTCCAGGAGATCTGATGCATTCTTTGGACCCCAGCCACACATGCAGTACAGATATACATGCAGGCAAAACATTTATACATATAAAGTGAATATAAGTTTTAAAAAATGTACCAATTTTTTAATCACAGATATAGGACTGTGAAACATGAACAAATGAAACAAATCTTTAGAACACTGCAATAATATATTTTTAAAGGGCCAGCAGGAAAGGAAGCAATGTGCATTCAGCTTTATTATTATCTAGTGAAACCATAGATGCTGTGTTGTACTCTCATACTTTCTGGAAGGTAAATGCATGAGGGAAAATGCCCAGAGGTATTCTGTTCCTTGCCTAAAGCAACATCTTTAAGCTGGGCTCATGGAAAAGCCTGGGTTGTAAGCATCCTACATTAGCACATTGCTGTTGGAGGAAAGGGAAGGTTCGTACTTCCGGACAGCTGCCCTGGAGAGCTGACTCCGGGATACTCCCTGCTGCTGGACACACAGTGGTGCTCCCAGGCTGACCGCAGGTACGTCCATCTTTAAGTCATGTGTTTAACTATCCGCTTACACCTATCCAGGGCCCAGTTCTCCTTTACATTTGTGTTGAAAATGTTGCTAATTAAGAGACTCAGGCTAGCCAAAGTTTTCTCAGAACTGTGAGTCCCTCAGCACATCTCCTGGATGATCTTCTGCGTGGATTGAACGTGGTATGGTCCAGCAGAGTGAGGGTGGACACTGTGCTCTTACAATCAATGAAAGTCAAAGATGAGGCCCCTTCTACATGCTCTGATATAATTCCCAGTTCACAGCAGGGCCTGGAATGAAGTAATCAGATCGGTGGCAATCCCCACTCTCCTGGGTCAGAGCAGCCCGCAACAGCAACACTCACCAAGACCCTGTAGGATCAGTGGGAAGGAAGCCCATGTGCAGTGTCAGGACTTGGCATGAGGCACTGGATGTGATTTAGGGAATGATGGGCGCAGTGAGGGCACCTATGATAGAATGCGCTAAGGTATTGGGATGTAGCGCAAAAGAAAAGGCCTTCTTGCTGGCACAGACTGACTCTGTTGTCCAGTCATCCCTTAGTTACTCTCAGGCCTTGGTGAACCCCAGAATCTCTCACAGACCTTTGCAGCTTAAATACTTACAGTGTTTCCTAATCTTCAACCTTGTAGGTAAGACTGTCATTAAATAAGTAGGGCTTAGAACATCCAGATCAGACCTCAGTGGGAATCATTTCACTCCAACAGAAACCCTGGGAAAGGTGACCTAGACAGATCTCTGTTTTACAAAAGGAAAAAGTAACCCAGGAAGATGAACAGATGAGCCCCCAATTACATATATTGTGAGTATCAGAGCTGGGATCCCACAGGCCTGGACTCCAAGTGCCTACATTGAGCCCCAGAAGGAAGCCTTGGAGGGGAACTCAGGTGACTGAAGAGCGACTTCCCGACTGGGCCTCCATAAGCCCGTGTGGAGGGATCCTACATAAGCCACCATTCCCAAGTTAAGGGATTCATGGAGGGGCTCATGTTCTACTTCTCATGTTCCGCTGACTATACACAGAGAAGAGCATGGATGCCCCTGCTCCCAGGTGTGGAGGGGGCACGACCAGATGTGAGGGAGAGGAGATAACAGACATATCCTGCATGATCTAGGCAGAGCTGAGGTGATCTTGTGAACAGCCGCTTGGAATTGTACCTTTGTATGTGGCTTTGGGTGTGCATATGATTTTGTTGTTGTTGTTGCTTTTTAGTTCATTCAGCCACGATTCTTCACTGACTCTTTAAATGAAGTCATTCAATATAACATTTCCCATGAAACCTTTGCCAAGACCAAGGCGGGAGGTAAAAGAGAAGAAAGATGAAGGGAACCAGGCAAGTTGCACATATGATATAGAGTTAGCTTGTTTCTCTTTTCTTTATTATGAATTGTATAAACAGCATAGTGTCTATTTAAGTTTCCTATGCTGAACACATTGTTATCTTCAAAATAACTAAAATTTTTAATTGACAATGTTTTTCCTTTACCATATAAGCAAGGTATTTAGCAATTTCAAAATAATTATGGCTTGGGTATTTTTTTTTCAAGCTACAGTTAACTCATTTTGACGACAAATCTCTAACTCAGGAAAGCATGGCCAGTATCACTGAAAAGGCAGGTGGGGTGACAATGAAGCTTGCTGACATGCAGCAAACAGAAATAGGATGACATGGGTATCATACATTTGAATACAAATGAGCACATATATATGGCCTCAGACCCCCAGTCTGCACTCAGTGGTGCTTACCACCTCCTGAAAACCACTGATACAACACAAGCAATACAATCAAGGCTTAATAAGATAGTGAGATCCACTCAGATAGACACAGAGGACAGACACTTCCTCCCGTGCGATTCTTAACGCACGGTGAGAAAGCCTTCCAACAGCGTAATAAAAGTCGTCATAATTCAGCAGCCCTCTACAACTGAGGGTCATAAGAGTCAGCCTGTTTCTTACTGTCATGGTGGAGTGGTGTTCTGAGAAAGAATAACCAAAGAGAAGTCTTGACTCTCTCAAACTGAGTCTATGCTGCAACTACAGACAGTAATTTGAGGTAAAGACAGTGCAGTTTATTAGAATCACAAGCACTATCCTGCCAGCATGGGGTGGGGGCATGAGTTAATCCCTTTTTATTTTCCAAAGGCGTCCCTTCCTCTTTTTGCCGCTCCCCGTTTTCATACCTGATGATTGTCTCAGAAATGCTGACGCCCCTTGTCTCTGTTTCTGAATGCTGATCTGTGTGGATGGGAAACTGTAGCTAAGATGTGGACTTAATACTGTTCTACGTTTACAAGGGTCACATTCCCAAGGTTAGGATTTGCCCACAAATGCACCTACACGGTCCTGGGGTGGTCTGGAGAAAAGAACAGCACCAGTTAGATGATACCGTGTGAACACCAGACACCTTATTCTTTTAGCTTTTGTGATGAGCTGGAATTGTAGGCCCACATTTTCCCTTTTCCGGCAGTTAGTTGTATTTCTCTGAATTAGTTGTCCTCTGTTGTCCTTAGACATCAGTTCAGAACAGTCCAGAGGCCCCTTTACAGATTTTCTCCCAGGACATCCCTGGAGGAACTGAGAAAGCCAGAAGCCTTAAGGACTTGCACTCTCATTTGGGTGAGCGAGGGTTCTCACTTCTTAGGAGGTGGTAGACCCCCATGTTGGCAGAAAATTAGGACAGTTTAATTGCTCCAGCGGGGGGGGGGGGGATGTCTTGTCTTGAATCATTACTTGTAGACAAAAGAGAAGGTGAATTTCATCTTTGCTTTTACAGAAGCCCAATTACATTTATTGATCTAATGCTGTGGCAAGTTCTGTCTTGGAGTAATGCCATGAGATCAAGGTTATGCACAGCACCAGATCGGCCCAGAAAAACCAGCTGTGGTAGCAAAACGCTGTTAAGAAGTGGGTTCAACCACCTTTTATACTTGGATAGACATAACCATCCTCTATAGGAGCCAAGATAGTGTCCAACTTCTGCATAAGATAAGCAAAACATAGGTCGTGGATCCCAGCTTCATCTCCAACAAGCCTTGCTTACTTTTTGTGGTCCAGAGCAGGTCTTTTGCACGCCAATGCTTAGGGGTTTCCTAGTACGGCTTTCATCATCCTTTGGGTAGGGTTAGAATTTTGCTTCCTGTGGTAATTCTCCTGGCCCCGTGATCAGTATTAACATCATTTCTAGTTAAAGACGAGGAGGCAGGTGCAGAGGGATGATGTAACTTACTTCGGATTCCCCAACTAACAAGAATTCCCCTCCAGATTACTTTATTGCAGGCTCTGAGCCTGAACTCCGCTGAAGGCCAGATGTGACAGGAGAGACCCCAGACAGGAGTAAGGACAAGAATACTGTGCCTCTGGCCTCTGAAAACCCTATAACTGCACAGTGCTCTGCTCTGGGAAGTGAAGAGGTGTGGCTGGGGACCTTGGGCTGGCTTCTCCATGAACTAAGAAGACAGGGACATTCTCAGTCAACT